TTCCCCAATGCAATAATGGAGCCATTTTGGGTGGGCTCCGCTTCTGGGATCCCTGAAATGTCTTGGAATGTACTTTTTACCCACCACATCCCTATACTACCCCCTTCGGTTCCCCCTGTTACTATGCCTTCCTTGGGTCAAAGTAAGCTGAATAAGCCGGAACATTGGGGCGCGGTAGTACAGAGGGGGGCCGGTTACATTGGGTAATCTACTCATGTAGGGGCCTAGAAGGCCAGCATCGGGCTTGGGGGGGGGGGGGGGNNGGGGGGGGGGGGCATATCATACTAGAGCTATAAGGATTGGAAGGGGAGTGACATTGCTAACTAGTTAGACTTCTACAATACGGTTTTAAGGTTTTCAGTGTTGATTTAGGATGTATTTTGTCGGGCTGAGGTCTTAGAAGTTCGCTCTTTCTTTGCTTTAAGGTCTTCGGTTCTTCTTTTGCCGCAATGTGCTTGCAAATCTCGATTTCAGTTTTGGCACTTTCGAGCTCAGGCGATACTGGGTAACGGTTCAGGAACTTGAGTGAAGGTATTATAGTAAGAAACCCTTTCATTTACTGACTATATACCCATGTTACAGTAAAGTAATTGAAGTTCCCTAACGTCAACCCAGGATATGGTCCGGGAAGTTTGTTGAACAACTGTTCCTTGGCACAAGATCTAAAGTTTATCTAAAGGTTCCTCTCTCACGTGGTTTCTACTTGGCCCTGAGAGTGAGTTCTACCATGGTTTAGGGCCCTATAAACGCTAAACCCTGTTTCAAGTGTAATTACTTGCGACATGCGCGGCAAGATAAGCAAAGGAAAAAACGGCTCAAGCAAAGCAGACATCTTGCTGAACGCTTGCCAAGAATGCTCCACGCAAGTACCACACACCTTAAACCCAAAACGCGCAACCTCTATGTATGCTCAGTTGTTTATGTGATTTTGCCGGTTTTTTCCATTGGATGAATTCTTGCAGAGGGCTTACGTCAAGTCCCCGCAAAACGTAGTTTAGGCGACCCTCCCTCTGACGACACCAACGTTTTCTCTCATGATGGCCGTAAGCAGGAGGACCGGAAGCAGGGCAGAAGTAGGATAAGAAGGTGCCCTTGTGGAGGAGAGGAGGCAGGGGCCTACACAATTGATTTAGGGCTTCTACGTGAACCATCCTATAAACCCTTGCTTAGCGGATTCCCACGTCACCATTTTTTTTGGGTGAAACTCCACTTGTATGAAAGCAGGTGGTCAGGCTTTGACAGCGCAACCCCAAGCCCTAAAACCCACCCTATGTCACTCTGACATCGCCCCGATAAAGCCCTTGTATAAAGTCACCTCTCATTAGAAAATGAAACTGCTAGGCATTCAGGCTTCAAACTCAAACCCACAAGCCTAAATCCACTCGCGGACCGGCGGCTGACTCCAACACATCAGGGTCGCCCTCTGCGCCCAGGCGCATGAAGGTGTCTGCTGCGTCCGCCAGCACCGCCGGATTCTGGCAGGCTTCCCCCTTTAACAAAGGACAGTGGCCTATATACACGGACCCCGTTGCACGGTTCAGTGTTAGCTGGGGGGGTGTGTCGGCTTGCAGCTAGGCCTTGATGAGACCTTGCACTAAACATCTTTGCTCGAGGCACTTCAGGCTTTCACCTTGACTTGGACTCCCTCTCTTGCCATTGCAATTGTACTGCCCTCCCCCTCAACATGACCCCCCCCCTACCCCCTAGCAAGGAATACCCACGATGTATTACCAATGTAAGTTAGGGGGAATATTCATAATTCGCGGGGAGTGGGGATTTTCATATGTAGGAGAGAAGGGATTTGTAGAGTAGCTCTTCGTCTTGTTGCTGCTGCTCTGAAGGAGAAGGATGTACTGCTGCTGAGCTAGGAAGCAGCACATGGATTAATTATCAGGAAAGACAAGCTCAGCGCACTCAGCGCAACAGCCACTGCACGTTGTTCATCTAAACCAGGATGCCGCTTTTAACCGAGAACGCTGCATGCTCATCCACATGATCCCATATCACATACGAAGTGACCCGTCTGAAGCCGCAAAAGCAATGCTTCTCACACTTAGCACCCCTCACGTGAGCTGTAGTCGAAACTCCTAGCATCCGCCCTAGTAGTCCCTATGGTCGTCCCTGTAATGCTCCCCTATATAATCCCCTACGTAACCCCCCTTAAAGAATTTAGACCCTGAACCCTGTACAATCCGCTGAATAAATCCCCTATAGAACCTATAATCCCCTGTGAAAAACCCTCTTTAAAGAGTTTAGAGCATAGCTCATGTGGACTCTCAATCCGCCACCTCACTCTTTAGGCCGCTAACCGCGAATGCGGCTGCGGTGGCCCGCTGAGTCGGCCCTTCCCCGGCCAGGTTCACCAGAATCCTTCCATGCAGGCTTTGGGTTCAGACCCTAAACCCTGTATAATTATATAATCCCTAGAACCCTATGTAATTCCTTTAACGCTAAATAGTAGCCTACAACTACAACCCTCTATTTTCCCTATAACCCCTATAGCCCCTATATATACTGAACCCTAAAGTAGTTCAGCTCTTGCCTTCAAGGGTTCCTGGGATCGTACCCCTTCAGGGTTTAGGGTTTTCCCAATATAGCCCTAATATAGCCTCTACATGAGCCAACGTAATCCCTTAGAGTCCCTGAAAAGGATCACAAAACCCAGGGGTGCAATCCTAAAGGGGCACAAGCCTTGACACATAGAGCCTTTGAACTGGCGGCAATCGAGCCGACGGCGCCGGAGTGTTTCATGAAGCCAGGGTTTTGGGGGTTCAGGGATGTAGGGTTAGGGCTTAGGGGTTTAGGGCTCAGCCTATTCTAAGTCTTGAACCCATGTGCCCATGCAGGCCTCCCTTATCCAGCCACTTCTTTCAAGAAGAGAACTCATGCATACACACATGGAAGGCTGTCAAAATACTGGTCCCTGGAATAAATCAATCCATAGTCCCAGGTTTCATCCAACGTTTCATGTTCTTGTCCATGTGCCCATTATTGGATTTGAGTTATATATAACTTGTGCTTTGATCCACCCCCCTCGCCACAGTGTCAGTTTCAGTTTCCAATTTCTTTGCCGTTTGATTCTCTTTAGTAGCAAAGTTCAAGTAGCCTAAGAGCAACACAAAAGACGAGGGCCTACACCCTAAACCCCAAGCCCCGAACACTAAACCCTAAACTCTAAACCTGAAACCTCAAACTCTAAAGCCTAAGCCTAGTTCCCCCATACCACCCTGTTTAAGGAGTTTACACCATAGCTCATGTAGAAATGGAACCATTGCCGGGGGGGGGGGGTCCCAACCTTTGCGCCCCCTTGCGCTTGTCAGCATCATCGCTGCACAAGGACTCTGCTGCCGCCCTGGCAGCCTCATAGAGGTTGCCTCCCGCCTGAGGGGCTCAGCACTACCTTGGGGTTATATTAGGGATTATATAGGGATAATGCAAAAGAAAATGGAAACTACTATAGTATATTGGGGTTATGAGGGTTCCGGGTCTAGGGTTTAGGGTTTAAGGCTGAGGTTTTGGGGTTTAGGGTTCAGGGTTTAGAGTTCAAGGTTTGGGTACCCCAAACCGGAACCGAGGCCCGAGACAATGCATGAGGGGCGATACTGGCAAAACCTTCGGTTTAGGGCCCGTGCAGGGCTTTGCATGCCGAAAGCTAACCCCCCGAAGCCCATGCCCGAGACAATCAACAGTGAGTCAGAAAAGAAATCCTAAACCTTCATAGAATATGTTTTGGGTGGCCGGGGCGGGTTTACAAGCAACGCGACCAGGCGGCCCGGGCGCCCAACCCGAACCCTAGCAATTAAACCTTACACCCTTTTGCCTGAACCCTCAACCCTAAAACCCTGAGCCCTAAACCCGAACCCTAGCAATTTTAACCCTCAACCCCAAATCCTGAAACTCTATACCCTAAACCCCGAAACACTAAGCTTAAACGCCTGCAACCCTAAACCCTAAACCCTGGCGTGAACAAAAATCCCTAAACCCTAAATCCCAAGCCCTATTGTAATTTCCATTTTCTTTCCATTATCCCGATATAACCCCTATAAAGCCCTAAACCCTAAACCCTAAACCTTCATGTTTTTCTCGGCCTCCGAGCCCGTCTTCCGTCTCGAGGAAAAGCCCCCGAGCTGCTCCAGGGCCGTCTGAGCAGGAGGGTTGATGGGGTTAAGGGTTCAAGATGTATAGGGTTCAGGATTCATAGGGTTTAGGGTTAAGGGTTCAGGATTTCTGGGGTTTAGGGTGTCAGGTTGAGGGTTCAGGGTTCAGGGTTGAGGGTTCAGGGTTTAGGTTGAGGGTTTGGGGTTCAGGGTTAAGGGTTCAGGATTTATGGGGTTTAGGGTTGAGGTTTCAGGGTTTAGGGTTCAGGATTTGTAGAGTTTTGGGTTTTGGGTTGAGGGTTTAGGGTTCAGGGTTGAGGGTTCAGGGTTTAGGTTGAGGGTTTAGGGTTCAGGGTTGAGGGTTCAGGGTTGAGGGTTCAGGGTTTATTTGGGCTTATATGGTTAAGGGTTTGGGGCTTAAGGGTTTGTAAGGTTTATTGGCCTTCCAGGCTTTAGGGTTCAGGGGTTTGGAGGCCATCTTAGGGTTTGGGGGCTTTAGGGGGAGGACGCGCTTGGGACTTGCTGGTGTGTGATTGCTGCGGAAGGCTAGCGGCTAGTTTCATTTTCTGGGTTGCTGTTAACGAGTTTAAACTAAATTACCATATTATGGGTATATCGTAAATGATAGGGTTTCCTTATGAAGGTTAAAAGGACACAAACTAAATCCAAGACCCTCCAGGCTAGGGCCTACCAATAAAAGGAGCCCCGTACAGGGTTTATGGTAATGATACTTGGGGTTGTACAGGGTTGAGGGTTAATATTTGGTTTTTGAGGATGAGCGCTGAGAAGTAACCTTAGACCTTTGGGGTCTATATCTTACGAAACTTGAAAACGTAAGGTTCTGCAATTTTGAGTAGATGGTACTGCCGAAAAGTTGTTTTGTTTAATGACGTTAAGGTAGTGGGCTCTGGGTTCTTTATACCCTATAGTTTTATAGTCCAGTATCCTACTATTTAGGTGACTGGGGTGTAGTGTTATACGGATTACACAAGCACACTACTATTTAGGGTTTAGGGTGTAGGATTTTAGGTCTAGGGGTTTCAGGAAGGCATGTTGCAAAAGATGACTGCTTATGTGTATAAGAGTGACCGTGAGAAACCATAGGGTATCTCTACGATAGAGTCTCAGCATATCTCACGACAGAAATCATGGGCTATAGCATATCACCTGGTTATCATTTGGGTCCCTAAACCCTAAACCCTAGCCTGGGCCGCCAGTCGTGTGACATCCTCCATGTGCCCTAGCCGCTGTGCTGCCACTGTTATGGCCTCTCAGGGCTTTAGGATTTAGGGTTTAGGAATGGAAGAGGAATGGAAACCACTGTCTAGGGTTTCGGGTTTAGGGTTTCAAGCGGTTGGTATGGAATGACGGAACTGAAAAGGAGGGAACTTGAAGCTCGTTGGGGATAAGATGGGGACTACTATCCGGTCCCAATCCTCCATTCCCTACTAACAACCAGTTCGGGGTGTAGGAATGAGCGTTTAGGGTTAGGGGTGGCTTGATTTATGTCTTCGTGCACGGCTTTACTTCGTGAATCACGCAGCACCAAGGGTCTGGAGAGTTGTAGCGTCTCAGTTGGGTTTGAAGTTTAACGGTCAAGGACAGAGGAAATCTTGCACCACTTGGGCCACCCATAATGCTGGAATATAGGGTACAAGATAGCCGCCCTCCATAGTATGTATGGGCTCAGCATCAGCCTAGCTTGGACATGGACTGACTTCCGGGGGTGGTGGGTTTAGGCTTTGCCAAGCCCCAACCAAGGCAGAAATTGCCTGTCCCAGTTTCTACTGACATCGCCAAAGGCACTTCCCCATGGCGCCTCTCAGTGCTCCCCGTCTGGGGTAGAATTCAAGCACCCCCCCCAAAAAAAAGGAGACAGGGCCTCCCCGAACCCGAAACCCTAAATAAAACCAAGCCTGCTACTCCATAAGCCCTAACCCCCAACCCTAAACCCTAATCCCTAAATCCTTAATTCCCCAGAACTTCTGCGCCTGCAAGCTGCGATTCCGCCCTCCTGAGCTAGCCACCAGGAGATATAGGGCTTTAGGGTTTCCATGGCCGAGGCCTTTTTTGGGGACTCACTGTAATGCCCGTAGCATATTAGAGCCTTTAACAGGAATCTGCAACTATGGACATCCTAAACCCTAAACCACCCCATTCTCTCTGCCTGCTGCCAAGCTGCCACCACGACCGCCACTAGCCAGACCGCAGAGGACCTTTGGATCGGTCTTGGTCATCTTTTTGGATTATAGAAGGGATTATATACATATGTTTTTTCCAAATTTAGGGGTTTCTTTTTTTTGTGGGTCCCTATGATAAGGACTCTCATATTTTGGGGTCTATATGCGGTTCATTTTATTTTGGGAAACTGTTACCTATATTAATATACATGGGTATAATGGAAAAGAATATGGAAACTACTAGTTTAGGGGTTAAGCTTTTAGGGTTTAGGGGGTCTTAGGGTTTAGGGGTTTTAGGGTTTGAGGGTTTTACGGTCTAGGGTCTTAGGATTTTAGGGTTTAGGGGGTTTAGGGTTTAGGGTTTTAGGGTTTTAGGGTTAGTGCTTAAGGCGCACAAGCCCGATTTACAGGGTTTTGATGGGGTACCAATATGGAAAAGAAAATGGGCGATGAAATGAAAACTGGGAATATACAGAAGGCTTATGGGCTGAAATGTTGCAGCTCTATCTGCCCTGGAACCCTCCCCGGTTTAGGATTCAGCGCTTAGGGTTTAGGATTGGGGTTCTTAATAAGCAAAAACACACCAAAAAACTGTTTCCAGTGCGTCCCTAGCAGTGGATGGCCATGGTTGCTGGAGTGCCCCTGCAATCATCATTAACCCCAAGCGTCAGCGAATTGCTCTACGTTCAGCCGCTAAATCCTGATTGCCACATTTAGCAGACCTAACGTCAGGATCCGAGGCCACAACACTACAAGGTCTGTAACCTGAAGTGTGCGGCCTTTTGACCGACTTATTAGGATCATTCGTGTGCTGACCCTCCTGCACTGCCTATATCTTGGCTTGGGGGATCATCTGCGACACGGGACAGATGTTGCCACATTCCGCACGTCTGCATCAAGATCTTCGAAGCAGGACGCAATAAGCTCGAGGATGGCAGAAAGGTCATCTTTGCCCAATGTTTCGGCCGGACCCCCCTGCAGGATGGGAGAATGAAAAGGACTTCAGGGGGATGGACCGGGGGGATATGGCCAAGGTAAGAAATAACCTGGGCCTGCGCTGCTGGATAGGAGAAGTAAGGGAGAGAGGGTCGTGGCATGCTTCCAGAAGAGGATTAGGACAAATGATATGTACCTGCAAGTGAAAAACAGCGCTGAGAGTCTACATCAGCATCCCATCGACATCTCAAAGGCTAATGTTTCCACAGGTGCAGATGCACTTGCCCAGACATCCAAATTGAATCCTAAACCCGAAATCTTAAACTAATATACCCCTAGAAATTCCCCGATATGACCCCTACATACCCCTATATCTACACCTATATTATAACCTTACCGCCTGTGGGCTCTGGATGGCATCAGAGGCCGCAAAAAGGCAGGCAATAGCTTCCAATGAAGAGCAGCGGCAGGCTGGCTCCAGGGATGCTCTGTTCCTTCTAGGGTTTAGAGGTCAGCTTTTCGGGTTTTTGGGTTAGGGTTCAGGGTTTAGGGTTTAGGGCTTAGGGTTCAGGGTTTTGGGTTTCGGGTTTCGGGTTCCCTCCATTAGCCCCACCTGCAACATGTTAGGGGTGTGGAAAAAAGAAGGAGCACACGTTGGGGAGTAACGGGCCAAACCGTATGCACATCGTGGGCCCGGTTCAATCACTAAAACCACTACTATTACTATGCTTGCTGCTATTACTATTGTTACGACTTTTAATACCATCATTGCTGCTGTTATTACTATTCTTAGTACTAGTTGTACCAATACTAATTTTCTTAGTAGTGCCACTATACTACTAGTACTACTATTACTACCATTACTTCCGACAATTACTATTGCTACTACTACCATGACTCCTATTTCTACTACCATTGTTACCACTACTATGTTTGATTACTACTAGAATGATGAACCCTTCCATTACTATTTTGACTACTAGTACCATGGTTACTACTCTGGCTATTCTTACTACTCTTGTTTTTAATCTTCAGTTAAGCTCTGGGACAGTGCAAGACACAGTCGACCCACACCACTTGTATTCCCGGGCACCAGACAGCCCAATGCGCATTAATTGAGGAAAATACACCCTAAGCCCTAGAGACACCAGGATCCCTAACGTGTTTCAACGCCTATTCTTTATTCAAACCCTAAACCCTAAATATCCTAAACCCTGAACCCAACGTGGGCTCCACAAGTGATTGCTGGCTTAGGCACTCCAACATGCCCTGCACAGTCTGGAGGGCTTGGAACCATGCTTCCGGAGCAAAGTCCTCCATGACCCGTATGGATTCTTGCCTTGCTGGTTGTTTGTGGATTTAAGGTTCAAGGTTTAGGGTTTTTTGTTAACACCTGGGTTTAGGTGTTAGAGTTGTTGGTTACCACCAGGGTTTAGGGTTTAGAGTTGTTGGTTACCACCAGGGTTTAGGGTTTAGGGTTGATTTAGGGTTTAGGTGGCTTGGGGTTTAGGAGGGCTTGGTTGCGGATTTGAAGTTTAGGGGGTTTAGGGTTTAGTGGGTGTAGGTTTCAGAGGGTCTAGGGAATAAGACAAGCCAAATACTAAAAGAAATGGAGACTGGGGATCTATAGGGATATGAAGTGTTTCCGGTGAGTGTTGGCTTACTGCTTGTAAGTAATGGACTAGGTTGGCCTCTATTAAACCATTGAAAGATATTAGTATATATATGGTCCCTTATTAAAGCCATTAGGGAAAATATTAAATATTCCAGGGGCCTACCCAGTGGAAGGAAAGTACCTTTAAGGTCTAGGCTTGGGGTTCAGAGTTGCAAGGTGGTTGGTATGGGGTTTCGGGTTACGAGTTGAGGGCTTAGGGATAGAGAATCAAGGAATGGAAAAGGAGGCGGCAACCACAATCTTATTGGGGATGCAACAGAGGCTATAGCCCCAAACCTTAAACCCTGAACTGTAGGGATCCTCTTCTCCATTCCCTGCTAAAATGCAGTAAGCTAGCCCTACACTAGATCTCCCCACACACCCAATTTTTCTGCTCTTTCTCTCTCTAAATGCTAAACCTCCTAAACACAAAGCCTCCTGAACCCTTCAGGGTTTAGGGCTTAGGGTTTACGGTAAACCTCCAAAACCCCCTGAACCCTGATAACAACCAGTAAGCTGCCTCACCAATGCTGCTGGGTCTTGGAGCCCTAGGCGAGCAAGTGCCTGTGCGGCCTTCATGGCCCACTGATGCCGCTCTTGCGCTTTCCTCGGCTATTCCCCCCTTCCCGTGCTAATCAACCAACCCCGCCCCCATAGAAACTCCAAGTATGTTCATGATTACGGGGGAGCGCTTACCACCGTACAAGAATTGTGGATTTTTGGTCAGACGTTTAGGTTGAAGGTTCGAGCTAAGTTGCCATAAGTTGCAGAATCAAACGGCAGAGAAGATGGAAAATGAAAAGGAAAGCGCTGTTATATAGAGGGCTGTTGTAAGGGCTTAGAAGCCAAATTAAGTTGCCATTACTATAAGCGAGTCATAAGTGTTTACCATACTTCCTTAAGATTGTGGTAGCTTAGGTCTAAGCTCCTTAACAGCAACCTAATTTCCGGATCTCCGAGGTGTTTTCCTTTTCCTTGTCAACCTTCTCTTTCTCGCGGTCTTCACCCTCCTTGGGTGTACCAGGCGGATGCTCCTCCCCGGCTCGTGCAAGTTCCGCCAAGGTCACCAGGGCCGCGCATCGCGTCGGCTCATCGTAGCCCTGGGATATCCGGCTGCTCACTGCCGCCACCGAGGCGCTGGTGGGCCCTATGCGCTTGACCAGCAGGCATGCCTCCTCCTTCACCTGAGGATCTCTGGAAGATCAGGGCGTAAAACCAATAGTGGTAGTTTTACGGGGCCGACAGGTAAACCCCACTGTTGCCCAACCACCTGGGGATCAATGTAGGCCAAGAGTTCGGCGATTGCCTGAGCAGCGGCCTCCTCGTGCCCAGAGGTGTTTGCACATCGGTACAGCGTGGCACCCGCCTTGTCCCGCACCTCCTCCGCGGCGGCAGGAATTGATAAAGGCTCAGGGTTTCGTGGCTCCACCCTAGAAACTCTGCAAAAATCACTGCCACTACTACTATTATTACCATTACTACCAGTACTACTATTACTACTAGTAATGATATTACTGATTTCCTACCGTTACTGCTGTTACTACTATGCCTATTATTTGCTCTTTGCGAATCCTTGTCTCGGTGGTGCAGGGCCCGGGCGAAAGCTGCTTCGAGGCCGCCTGCCGGAACAAGATGTTGAGGGTGTAGGGTTTAGCGTTTAAGGTCTAGGGTTTAGGTCGTCTTGCTGCGCAGCGGCTGGTGGTAACATGTAGCAATGGCGCCCCAACACACCCAGGCGAGTGGGGGGGAGGGCGGCATATCTTGCGACGGCGCATCTCTCGCGCCCA